AACTTTCGTGTAAGCAAATAAACCCCAGAATAAAAGAAAAAAACACAAAAAATACAGACAAGAATTTTCTGTAAACTGGACCTGCAAGTGGGTATTTGGGGTCCAAGAACACAATCTGGAACAAAGTCGTAAAGACTCACTAGGGGTTTGAGGTCATGGCTAAATGTATGTTTGTTTGTACTGATTATCTATCTGTATAAACAGAGTGTCTGCAAACTGATTTTCCTTAAAAAGAGATTGACACTAAAATCGAAGGTTGTCCGAAAGAAAGAGCTCTTAAAATCAAAGGGATAAGTGGAAAGATGGTTGGCAGTAATGTAAATTGCAGTACTGTAGGCAAAAACACGCAAAAGCAAGGGTAAGGTCGCTTTAAAATATACATTTTAGTGAGGATGTGCTTCAGCTCAGGCACGCAGTGGATCAGGGTGAAATGTTGTGTAATCCTGTGCGAGGTAGGTTTAATCCAGTGCTCCTCGAGAAGTTTGTTTTGTTATTTCAAGTGTGTTCAATTAATTGTATAGCCTTTATTTGACATGGTGTTCATTTGTGTTTCTGTAGGTAATTTTAGATACATGATGGGTAACCAACCATCCACAGTTCCTAGCAGCTCAGGATATATTGTTTTTAAAAGGTTGTTTGGTAGCAGAAGTGTTGCTTGTTTCCATTAAAAGGTTGGTGAGAGGCTTCGCGATGATTCAGAGGTGTTTGTTTGCAGAACCATGCGGGGGTGAGTGAAATAAATAATCACAGTCTGTATTTAAAATATTAGAAAATATTAGTTGTTGGTTAGTAACCGAAAAGTCTTGGTTTTGTTGTCAACATATTAAGAAAATCAAAAAAAAAGTTGTACTTTTATAAGATGCCCCAATCAGAAAAAAATATCTCACACTTGTAAGCACATAACAAAATCAAAAATGCTAAAAATACAAAACAGCCCAAGGAGTACGTTATGTTAGTAGAAGCTTGTTACACAACAATATTGATAATAATATCAGAAGCACACTCTAAAAAGCCAAAGGGGTTCTTCAGATTGAAAACAATAGAGGACCAAAGACGGTACCCTGAGGAACTCCGTCCATTGATAATCCATGACAGTATTTCCACAAACCTCGAAAACAAAAAGCTTCTACAAAAACAGTTAAGGTATTTTCATTGTTTTGTTTTTCAAGTGAAGAACCCTGATGAGCTTTTGGTTTTTAGAGCATACATTTTGTTAATTCAAGCAATTCTGAACTTACAGATCGGTGCAGTTGGCCCCATTGAAAATAGAACACACTGTACAGTTATTATCTACAGTTGGCGCATTCACGTAATCACAAGGAAACTAAAAACCATGTTATTGATGATTGCATTCAGAACATCATAGGAATATCTCACCATCCACCAGTTGAACGCTGGTAAATATTTTTAAGAGGCTGGCAAAACCTGCCCTTTTGACAGGAAAGCAACAAGCACTGAGAGGTTTAGTTCTAGTCCAAAAAAGTACAAATGGCTGGTAAATAGTTCAAATGGTCGAAGGAACTTTCTATCAGCCATCACGGGCTTCCTGCCCTGACATCCGGTGATCTCGATAAAATGGAGAGAGCGAGGAAATACAAGTTAATACTGGCATGGTAACACAAGGTGCAAAAATAATGTGTAAAAATGAGTTTGTTGAAGAATATTTCACTTAGTGCTGCGTTGGTGAAACATGTTCTGCACTTCAGTCCAGATGTTTGCAAGTCCTTCAAGATCAAATTAGGTCCAGTTTCAGGTTCCTTTATTGGATGATCGTGAGACGATGGCCTCTGTCCTTTAGCCAGATTTTCAAAAATATGCAGTAAATGGCTTGGTATTTGTTTTTTTGAATGGATACAATCAATCACTTTGTATTACTTGTTTAGATTCTGAATTGTCTTTATATTCCAAGGTGGTCTTTCTTTAATTTTTTTCTTATGGTCATGTCCCTCCATCTGAAGGCACCGTATTCTTCTTTTATGCATCACATGTAGTGGAAGTGGTATTCAACTTTGTTCACCCTTAAGGTCACCAGAAATGTTTCACATCATATTTAGAGAAAATAAACCAGTTTGGACTGGGTGGGAAAATACATATGTCTGTTTCCAAAAGGTAAGACAACAATTTCTCTTTGTTTCTTGGGGACAACAACTTGTGCTCATATTTAGTTATATAAGCTCGTTTTTCCCGAGTTTTGCTTTCTGCAGATTCTTTTTTTGGTAACCAAAAAGTATGTAGGCCTACCTGTGTTTTTGGGGACACCTACGGAAGAGGATTAGGGTCAAATACGATTTTTTATTTAAAAAAATAAAAAGTTTAGTTCTGAAAAAGTCAGAATACCGAGAATAAAGTCAATCTCAGAAATATTATTTTTTATGATTTCTTTTCTCAGAATTCTGTCTTTTTTAAATCAAAACTCCCCAAATTTGTATTACTTTTGGTCGAACTTCCAGAAAAATTAATGTGACCCTTGTCCTCTTGTAGACACCGTTGATCAAATCTTTTTCTTTGGGAATTCCTCCTTTCTTGGAGTTCTTGGAGTATCGGATATTCTTTGGGCAATACACAATTTAGATTTTCTCAACTTAATACAATTTTTTGAATGTAATTTCCCACCCAGTTCATTTAACATTTCCACTGATAAATGTCCAGAGGTACGGTAGCTCCCGGGGTTCATCAAATTCAAACAAGCCAGTTAAACAAAATACTCTGTTTCCCATAATGCACCCTGTTTGGCACCTTTCAGCATAATCTCCTTTGCCAGCAACATATAGGGTCACATAGAATATGAAGCATGAAATACAGTTGACATATATTATAATTCAAGCTTATACGTTCAAATATACTTAGACACTTGCAGGGGATAATTAATTGGTTTTCTAAGAATAATCAAATAAATCAATGGGAAAATTGCAATGTCAAAAGTCAACCATTACCATGCTTAAGTCCAATCCAAAACAACGTTGTAGCACCCCCTGCTGAAACCCTGTTATCCACAAACACTAAAGGCTTTTAGTAATTTTTGCAAAACACAAAGGTAAAAAGACACCTGTAGTTTTTGTTATGATGGCTTATTTAAAGTTATTACAAAAGTTTATTGTAGATAGGAAAGTCTTCAGTAACCTTCACTAATGCACTTTTCCTGGTCAAAGAAATGCTGGATTGGGGCTTCAATTTACAACAAATCCCTCCCCCTGCATATTGATTTTAACCATTGACACACCGACACTCATTAGCTATTGCACAGGTCATGCACGCCTGTCTAAGACACAGAAACTGCACCATATTAATGCTAACCACTTCCGCCTTTCTGTTACGACTCATGGCTTGTATTATGTCAACAACCCAAACAACGGTGCTTTTTGTGCAAAAACAAAGCGATGCAAGACTAGTGTGATTTTTTGGAATATAGTAAAAAGGACTCGTCGCGTTCTCAGGATTCCTAAAAAACCTGAACTGTCCCATCAAACGGTTCGTAGTGTTAGCATCGAGCGCTAACCCCTTGCGATAAATCCGCAGGCACTGTTCCCTTCACGTCTGGTCCCTGAACCGTTTGTCCACTACAGCACTTCACACATTTTTTACTCACAATATGACACAAACACTTCCTCTGTCAGGGAAGAACAACACACATGTCCTCTTAAATCCACCTCTGAAGGGCACAACGAAGGGAGGATGGAGGTGATTGTCACCAAGACGTCAGGACTTCCATATGTTATTCTTCAGATATGTGATTCACCTTCTTGGTGTTTTTTTCTCCTCGAGGAAAAAACGTTCTCCAACAAACACCTTCGATACAGGGGGGGAAAGTCTCTCTACCTGCAGGGGAAGTGGATGTGAAAATAACACAGGCTGAGTAACTTCCTCTTCCCCACTCTAAGTGCTCTCCTACTCATGAGGCGGCCATTTTGAAACGCCTGTACCTGCCCTCCCCTCCTCTTCCTCTTCCTCCTCACTACTGTCACTCCCGCGGCGGGGCGTCGAACTACCGTCCTTATCTTCTGCCTCCTCACACAACCGTGCTGATCCGGCTGACCGGTTTGGATTTGGACCCTCCCCCCTGCCCTCCCCCAGCCCCCTGGTGCAGGGAGAGTGGGGTGTTGGGCGGCGGAGGTAAGGGCGAGTGCGGAGGAAAGGGCGAGTGCGGAGGAGGAGGCGGGATGGACGACAGCTGCTGATATTGGGGTCCATAGGGCTGCGGGGGCGTCTGGCTGACGAGGCGTGCCGAGGGCGTCTGCGGAGGAGGCGTGGAGAAGATGAAATGGGTGGAGGGGGAGGCGGAAGGGGAGGGGCTTAGAGGGGAGTGTGTGAGCACGGCATGGTTGTGAGAGTGTGTGTGCGCGTGGGGGTGAGGCTGCGAGTGGGAGATGGTCAGCGGGAGTTTGCCTCCACCGCCGACCCCCGGCCTCCCCGAGTGGTAGAGTCCGTGCGGGGTAGTAGGGGTTAGGGGGGAGTGAGGGGAGAGTGGCGGGGGGGTGATGAAGCCCAGGTTGTAGCGGGGGTGCTGTCCGCCGCCATGCTGCAGCCGCTGGTGCTGCGGGGGGTGAGAAGGGGGGGGACCCTGCCGCCGGGGCGGGGCGGAGAACCTGTGAGAGAGGGTGAGGTGCGGGGGGGCGCTCTGCATGTGGTACCGGTGGTGGTGGTGGTAGGGAGGGGGCGGAGTCTGCTGTTGCTGGATCCCACTGACTCCGCCTCCTCCACTGTTGCCGTGGCAATACTGGGCGTGCAGCGCCTGCAGCTTGGACGGCCCGAGGCCTCCAACCCCTCCCAAGTCCGACTGAGCGAGGTTGGGCAATGGGGAGGGGCACGGGGAAGGGGAGGCTGGGTGGGCGATGGGGGGGGGCAGGGGCGGGGTAGTGAGGGGGGGAGGAGATCATCAGAGGACTGGGAGGACCCTGAGGAGGAGGCGACGTCATCGTCAAAGGAACGGGAACTTTGCCTCTCCTGCTCCCAAAAAAGTTCCCCAGCAGGCCGCCGCCGCCACTCGGGCCTCCCACCCCCACCATCCCGCCTCCTCCCCCAGCCCCTACCCCGCTCACGAGAGGGGAGGTGCTGATCCCCCCCGGGTTGTGACAGAGCCCCGGCCCACCCCCCACCCCTGTACCGGGGCTCTGAGTTGGGCGGTGTGGCCGGTAAGCTGCTGGAGACGAGGGGGCCATCATGCTGTAGGGGAGACCTCCGGCCAGCAGGGGGCGCTGCTGGTGGGGCCGGGGGCTGCTAATAATGGAACCCTGAGGGGAGAAGAACAAGGGAAGAGAATCAAATACAGAACCAGGCTTATAAACACTTTACAATATTTAAAAAGAAGAATAACAGCAGTTTGGTTAAAGTTTTAGAGATAGTTTCCAATCATCCCGGCAGCCACTGCTCTGTTTGTTTCAGTACGTGAACAATATTGCTTTTTCAGACACTTCAATTAAAGGATATGCTATCAGTTTTTTGTTTTTTTTGTTTGAATTTTACTGTACTGAACTGAACTAGAATCAGGTTTCAAGACAGACATGCAGGAAAGAAGAAGAAGAACGAGTGAAGCAGACAAAGACAAATGATTAGTTATAAACATGTTGGGCATCCTGGTGTATGACCATCATGTATGACCTTCGTTGCAGGAAGTAAAGATCATCCAAAGCCGGAAAAAGGTGCTCCAAAATTACACAAAAAACCTTGCCGAGCCAAGCATTGAGACGAACATTATTAAACATGCAACATGTGCGTGATAATCTGCTGATGCATGCTGGGAGGTAACACGGCGCATGCTTTCAGTCCCGCCCCCGACAAACTTACTTCAACGGTACTGTCCAATGACCCGACACTGTTCCTACGACCTCGCTTCCCTGTTACCCAATCAGAAAGAGGCACGGTTAAAAAGAGGAAGTTCAAACACGTTATCCCGTTAAAAAAAATACACCTTTCTTTTTATAATTTTCCTGCAGATTAGGCAGACAGGGTTCTTGGTTGGTCACTTGCACTTTTTAAAGTATATTTGATTTTAAATTGATTGTTTGTTTACTATTTATTTTGTCTTTTCTGCGGATAAATAATAGATGTTCATATTATTTTGAATTTAGGATATTTACTTGGGTTTAACCCTCCTGTTGTCTTCGGGTCAAATCTGACCGATTTACTACTTTCATCAATCATAACTTTTTTGTTTTACATTCGATTACATTAAGACTTTATGATATCCTTCACAGTAGACATTTGAACATATACAATTGCTGATCACCACTTTCATTGCATTTTGGATGATTTAGTCAACTTAGTAAAACCCATGGTGTTCCCGGAATTAGTAACCATCCGGATCAGATAAAACACACACACACACACACACACACACACACACACACACACACACACACACACACACACACACACACACACACACACACACACACACACACACACACACACACACACACACACACACACACACACACACACACACACACACACACACACAGAACAATTTGACACATTTCCCGCTCTTATGTGCCCATCCCCCCACATGGATCACACCTGGCACACGCAATACATGTTCAGTGTCTATTCTTTGTATATTTACTGCAGTTGTTCGTGTACACCAGTAGTCTGATACAATATGTACAGTTTGAAAGGGTGTTAAATGAAATTTGGTGATGATTCATGGTTTTTGTGTTACTGTAATAGCAGTTAAAACAGGACCGGTCAAATTTGACCGCGAACACCAAAGTAAGGGGGGGAAAATGAAGACAATAGGAGGGTTAAGTTGCGTACTCTTAGAAAAAATATCCATAATTGGTCAAAAAATCCTCAGATACACAATTTGGGATTGAATATTCTGATCGGTGTCCCACTCCCTGCCATCGAGGACATCCAGGGCAGTGGTTCCCAACCTTTTTTCCCAAGAGCCCCCCCAAATGACTCCTGTTGGAAGTTGCGGTAATTAAAGTTTAAAACTCTCAAAAATGCTACAACTACTGTCACAAACTAGATGAATGTGAAGTATTGTGTTAAAGGAGGATGAAAGCGTAATTAAGGAGCACTATTGGAGTGACTTTGATGGTTATTGGACTCAGGATTAATTCATTTGGATTCCCGCTGTATGAAGAAATTAAAGGACGGCGCAAGTGGGAACAATTCACAAAGGGATTAAACGGTTTAAAACACATGCTCAAAGTAAGCCGGATTTTGCCGATGTGTTTATGTGGATTCAAAAGTCGTAAATAATCTACAAAATGGAGGAGACCGATCTGATCGGAGCAACTGTGACAAATAATCCAACTGAAACCTGCATGGACAATGGCTATGTTTTAAAAATGCGCTTATCCAGAAAAGCCTGGTTTGGACACTTTACGGGCAGAAGAAACATTTCTATTAAACAAAGAATTATACATTTCTGTAGTTAGTATGCCTTTAGCTACTAACTTGAATTGTTATTCAAATTAATTAATCAATTATTTTTTATATTTTATTGTAATGTAGAGACAAGGCTTTTAGTGACAATCATGTATTGCTTTACAATTATATGTAAAAAAATTAAAAAAAAGTCTAAATATGATATTTGGCCTCAAATCATCTGAGGCCTGGCGCCCCCCCTGCGATCTTTGGCGCCCCCCAGGTTGGGAACCACTGATCCAGGGGATACAGTGTTTGCAGAGGGCGCACAACATCTTCAAAGACACCTCTCATCCTGCAAACTATCTGTTTGTCCTCCTACCCTCTGGGAGGTGCCTCCGGTCCAAGACCAGCAGGTTCAGGGTCAGCTTCTTCCCCAGGGCTGTTACCCTGCTGAACTCTGCTCCCTGATAGACTCAAGCCCATACCCACCACCCACCTGTTTATATATTTTACTGTCAATGCCGTTTACACTGTATATAGTCATCTGTTTATAGCCTATTTATAATTATTCTATTTATAATAATTCCATGTATAATTATTCTTATTATGTAGACTCCTCCACTTCTATTTTGCACTTCTGGTCAGATGCCTAAACGTACATTTCGTCACTAGTACATGTACTACGTAATGACAATAAAGTTGAATCTGAATCTGATATAATTAAAAAACAATATTTACGGGGTATCAGTGCATTGCTTATCAGGTTAGTTATCATACCTCTATAGTAAAAAGAAACACCCTTATTGTAAACCAGCTATTTATAAAGTGCAGTTTCCACAGTAAAATCACCCTTTAATGTTTCATGTTGTATGTTATAGTCCAGCAGGTGGAGACAGAGCATCACGGCTCCACATCTGACTTCCATCTTACTGTATTATAATTCCATTTTAGATTTCATCACATTTTCATCAGTTGCATAAGACCACAGATGTAGGTTTGCTTTGAGTCAGTGAGTCATAAAAGCTGCAGCAGTAAACAGAAAATCTCCCATTAACAGGATCCCAGTTACGTCTCACAAAAAAACATGTAAGCTGTTGTTAACCAGGGGGAGAAAACACAGAGATAAGACTCACATGCTTCTTCCTTGATCCATTATTGAGCCTATTTTATATTACATAGAGCTTTTTCTTAACTGATGCTATGTGTTATAATGATCATATATTAACTTCTGGATCTGAAATCAATTTATCATGAATTAATTGACAATAAATACGTGTACCTTTGATGCCTTTGATTCCATATATACAAATAAAAGGCAGATTCCTTAAGATATTAAGGGTTTTAAAATCACCTGGTAACCAGACACACTTTTTTTACTATGATTTTATTGTTTCTTGTGAATATTTGTTATTTGAATAAGTGTTATTTCTTTTAAATAGTCGTCTCCTTGGTGGGCTTTCTGTCTGCAGCTATGTGTTATTTTTGGGCTGTTTATGCCATGGCCAGGTCCCCCTTCAAAATGTATACTTAATACAAATTAAAAGGTGCTATAGAAAAATGTTAATTATTACTGTCAAAACATATTAATATTTATTTTTGAAGTTTTACAACAATATTTTAAAATGTATCATTATTATTGTTTTTATTATTATTTATTTATTCATTAATAATCTATTTATTATATCATTATTGTGTCCCGTCCTCACCTGTTTCTGAGAGGTCTCTCAGAGAGGAGCTGAGCGCGGTGCGTTTGAGTCCGTCCACCGAGGCGTACGTGTCGTCGAGGCTCGGTCTACCCAGAATGCCGTTCACCGCCTCGCCCTTCATGCCGCCTATAGGCCCCCCTCCCGGCGCCCCCCCGCCTCCCGGTCCTCCCCCCGCCATCACTCCGGGACGCATCACTCCTTTCTGCTTCTCCAGCTCGGCTGCAGGGAGGAGAGAGAGGGGAGGAACAATGATCATTGAATGAAAGTGAAATAAAAGCTTCAAATAATATCAGTTTTCCCCGAGGTGACGTAGTGCTACTGCCTATACTTCTACAAGTTTGTTTATATAAATATTTGTATATAGTTCTTCTCAAATTTCACAAAACCCCCGTTTCCCCCCTTAATAAAAAAAGTTTAGATTCTGAGAGTTTATAAAACATGATTTTGTTATTAAATTAGCCAACAGTTTTTATAGTAACAGCTGAACGATTATATCATCTATTATGTAACCCCTTCAATTAATCAATAAATTAATACATACAAAATTAACTGGCTCCTATAGACATTGAAGTAATTTTTTTTTTCTTTGGGGTGACTATTTCATTAAATATTTTAATCTGCTTATTCTTACTTACTTTTAAATAATATTTTCAATTTAAATGTTATCTTATTATTTGCATATGTGTTCCTTATTGCTGCATGTCACTTGCAACATTATGTTTTACTAATATTTTATTACAGTATTTTTATCCTTTTTAATGTTTTAAGTAAAGTATTTAGCATTGTTTGAGGAGCCTGGGACTTAACATTATGTGCATTTAACAATAAAACATTTGAATGAATATAGGCCTTTAACTTCTATTGAAGTATTTCACAGAATTCTGATTACTTCCTTCAATACTGTCTACTACTATTACCACTGGTTAACGCCACTGCTGTGACCACTGGTATTATCACTACTATATACATAAGTTCTGATGCGCTGTGTCAGGAACACTCACACTCCACGCGGTACTTCTCCATGTCCTGCACCTCAGCGATGCTCTCTCGGAGGTCAGAGGTGAATCGAGCTCGGTCCTGCTGACTCGGCGCTGTGAAGACGATCAGAACCTTCCTCTCTCCGCCGGGGTTCGCCGACGTCAGTCTGATACCATGAGGGTAATCTGTGTGACACACACACACACCCACACACACACACACACACACACACACACACACACACACACACACACACACACACACACACAAACACAAACACACACGTTACACACTGTGACCTCTGGGCTAAAAGTCTGACCTCGCTGTGAAGAGCAGAACATCAAAGCTGAAAAGACTAACTTCCTATTGTTGGACAAAAATAGATGATATGAAATGTTTTGGTCTTTTAACATTAAAAATGAAAAATGTAACGATCTAAAACATGAATGTTGAACATCAGATATTGATGATGGTCTCGTTGAATGAAAGAATAAAGGAATTCCTGTCAGAAAGGAGTCTCACAAGATCTCATCCACTTATTTAACAATATATTCCAAAAAGACAACAAAAAGAAAATCAATATATCGTTAATTTTAAATCACATTTCAATGGGGATCAAATGCTGCTTCCTGGTTGATGGTGGAAAAAACGTGATATAATACTTCCCGCCAAAGAAGTTACAAATACAGAATCTATCAAGTAAATCATTCAAAATGGTTCCAATTTGTTAGAAAATGTTTCTTTTTTCTCAGGATGACCGAGTATAAGAAGCTGAATGACGAAAACATTCTCGTATAGCCTTAAAAGACATGCACACGCACGCACGCACGCACGCACGCACGCACGCACGCACGCACGCACGCACGCACGCACACACACACACACACACACACACACACACACACACACACACACACACACACACACACACACACACACACATTCTTACCTTCCTCCCACATGACATGCACACATATACATTCCCATGCACCCACTCACAGACAAAACACACACAGTTCTCACCCCCACACACACACACACATGCATGAACACACACACACCAGCAGTAAGATTGTGCTGATGAATCATATGGGACAATCTGTCCCGGTCACAGTCATCACCACTGCCTGCCAAGTCCCATTAAGCTCCAACTGGAGAACCAGAACTGTCAACAACAACAACCACAACCACAACCACACAACAACAGCTACACAACCACACAGCAGCAGCTACACAACCACACAACAACAGCTACACAACCACACAGCAGCAGTACACACTCTGACTGTGGATCCTTCAAATAACTGAATAATGTTGACCTTGTGATATGACCAAACGTAACAACAGAGGAAGCTGTGTGACTGATTTCATCGACTGAAAGTGTCATAATTATGAATATGCAATACCTGTTTCCATTTGTTCCTTTTTAAATGGAAATGTCGGTATTTTGCAGTCTGGATTCAAAATGTTTAGTGTCTAAGTGACTGATGGAGACAACAATGTTTACAATTGGTCCAGTTTTGAACGACAGCAACTGCAACAGCATGCTTTGAGGCAACTCTGCACCATCACTCCACTAAGAGTCTGACAACATCATGGGAAGGAACTACAGAGAAATACAACTTTTACTTCAGACCAAAGTTAACGTGTAGATAAGACTCTTTTCTCATAGCCAGTAGACAAGTATGTGCTTTTTAGCTGTGTCATGTTGGACATCTCTCTGGTGTCTGGGCTGGAGCCCAACAAATACCGCGTCCACTGCAGAGTCATTTGTCCTGTGAATGTAAGCTGATTGTTCCCACTGAATAAATCCCCTCTCCCCGTTGAATGGGCGCTTTATTCAGCCTCATTTCATCGAACCAGAGAAATCTCGTTCTGGAAGACATTCTTTGTGTTGAAGTGTGCAGATGGGAAGAGACAGGAATGAAGAATGAGAGAGAGAAGTCTAAATCATGGGTCCTTTCTCACCACTCAGAAAAGATGATTCTGTATGGAGCTTAGCGGCTGATTCAGAAGTTAAACCAATAGCAAAACAAGATTTGAAAGAGTTATTAAACCTTTTGCAGTGGTGCACGTAAAATGCAGAAATAAGTTGACTATATACATTTAAAATGAAGTTATATTAGATTAAAAAAAGCATGTTCTATAAATGATTTACAGTGGAATATAATACAATCAAATACTCTGTACAGTAATAATAATATAATAATATATATAGTGCTGCGTACCTGGACTCACATTCAGGTTCAGGTCCGGACTCAAGTCCAGAGGTTCAGGTTCAGGTCCGGACTTATAAGTCCGGACCTGAACCCATGGCTTGTGTCAAGTTGTGTGAGGAACTAAAGTGAACTTATTGTGAGCTAATTATCAATTGAAAATAAACTCATAATCAACTCAAATTCAAACTCGTCAGGTTTATTGTGCTCCCTTCCAACTTGTGTCTACATTTCTCTACAAAGTACAAATGTAAAAATAACACTTTTTGCCACTTAGTCTACAAATGTCTTATTACAGCAACTACAGTGAACTACTACAAAGTTCAAACATTTATTTCATTTACCAAACTAAAGTAACCAAACAGTCCCTGAGCTGACTGAGCCTAAATCCTTTAAAGCCCCGCGGCATTGTGTTTACATGACCCGGGCCGTGACGCCGTAGACCAAACAAAGGAGTTAGCTACATTACCAAATATCCAATATGGCGACCAGCAGCCCACGCTGTCCACTATGTCTAAGCCAATCACATCGCTAGCTTCCCTTGACGTCACACAGATCTCGCGAGCAGTTGCGATATTTTGCGAGACTTTCGTGAGTTCAGTAATGGCCGCCATATCAGAAGCCGACACCATGTTTTTCGTCTTTTCTTAGCGCACATTTCTCGATCTATGGAAGGTTTTAGATGGTTTAGAACAAAAAGGAGAATATACGTAAGTGCTCGTTTTTTTTGCGAGTCCAAGTACCGGTTCCCGACGTTTTAACCGGACTTGAACCGAAACTTTTTACAAGTCCAGTACCGGTAGGCAGCACTAAATATATATATGAATGTCTTATTTCTATTCTTATAGCCCTTAAATGGGCATGTTCTACATTACTCCGTTATTACACCCATGTTACACCATGATTACATCCATATTAAATTACATAGTATTCAGCTGACGCTTTTATCCAAAGCGACTTAAAATAAGTAATAACTTACACCTTAACTACAAAGTTATTACTCCAATTTTCCCTGTTATCACAACCCTATTACACCCCCATTCCTCCGTTATGACACCAATGTTACACCATGATTGCACCCATATTACACCGCTGTTATAACAACCTGATTACACCGATATTACATCATTATGACACCGTCATCACACCCATGTTAGTCATGGACACAGCCTGTTATATAAATGTGTCTCCCAGGATATAGAAACCATTTAAGGGTTAATAACTGTTTCCAAATGTATTTAACTTTTACAATAGGTTTGAATTGCTCTACAGTTGATCGAAAGCACTTTGAATTGCCTTGTGTTAAAGTGTGTTATATAAATAAACTCACCTTGCCTTTCATGTCAGGCATAGGCGTTTTGTTTATCCTGCATTATAAAGTATTTTTGAAAATGGTGGCGATGTGATTTAGGAGCTAAACTCTTCTGTTAACAGGTGCTGAGGCAGATTAGAAACGCCACCAACTCCAATCTGCTGCTCGAAACCCAGAGCCAATTCCTCTCTGCTCGAATAGAGGCTTGGAAACCACACACACCCACACGACTGCATACGATTCTGTTAGCATCATTATCGGGAAATGTTTCGGTTGAATGAGTCATATTTTGGGGAATGCAGCTAAACATGCTTGTTTTAAGACGGAGAGTCGTCTATTCAGGAAATCCTGTGATAAGCTTCCAGAGTTTCCATCGAGAAGCAGGATCCTCTTCGGACTGATGGTGGCGACGTTTAAAGAAAGATTGGCAGACAGAGAATTATTTTTGTACATGGAGAGGGAAGTTGTTTTTGGCCAAGCGATGATTAACAGATTGTTGAGAGCTTTTCCAACTAGGACAGAGTCAACCATTTCTGTCCCAGGTGCATTATTGGAGAGCAAAATGATGCTTTGAGCATACTAGTTCCTTTTTTGTGTATGTATGTTTGCAAGCAAGCTGTATACTATTTTTATATCTGTATACAACACTAGAAAAGTGTTAAAGGGGCCCTGTTCTACTGATTTCCATGTTCATATCAGTATGTAGCAGAGGTGGGACCAAGTCATTGTTTTGCAAGTCCGAGTCAAGTCTCAAGTCTTTGCGCTCAAGTCCGAGTCAAGTCTCAAGTCATTGTTTTGCAAGTCCAAGTCAAGTCTCAAGTCAGGATGGGCAAGTTCAAGTCAAGTCCAAGTCCTAAACTTTGACAAAACGAGTCATAAACAAGTCATTATGTATTTTTCACCAAATGTAATGACATCGATCAACAGAATAATACTTAATAATCAAACTGCTCTTTATTAGTCACATTAATAATTTAATAATCCATTTTCTCTCTGCTGGTAAAGTAACGTGTGTTTTTCTAATTTAAGAGGGATCAGTAAGGTAAGGCTACCGTGACGGTTTGATTCAGAAGGAGTTTAATGTATAAGATCCCTGATGTTGAGGTAACCAGAATGTTTATTTCCACTGTGTACAACATGTTATAAGGGACCCACAATCTATCTTTATGCAAGGGATAATGTGCAGCGAGGCGGTCTCTATGGGGAAAAGAACACCTGAATCTACATCCCTCTGCAGGTGGTAATTTAAGTATATATTGATGCTAATACTTTTGTACTTTTACTTGTAACATTTTGAATGCAGGACTTTTTATTGTACAGGGTTCCTGCAGGTTTCGCCAACTCAAATTTAAGACTTTTTAACACCTTTTTAAGACCACTTTGAATAGAATTTAAGACCTATTTCACGGCAATAAAGTATGAAGGAAAATGTATATAAAGAAGAAATACGTCCCATAATCACTTACAAAGTAAATGTATTCATGTTCAACATAAGAACAATGACTGAACACAACATCATTTATTTAATTAATTTTTGTATTGGTTTTTCAGTTGAATTATACGTTCAGGGTAATCAACAGTTAAAAAGATACTGTTCAAATTATTATCTGTTTTAAAGTTCAATAAATGGATGTTTTCAAAGTCAATGAATAATCATATTTAATAATCGTGATATTAATTATTGACCAACATAATCTTGATTATTGCCATAATCGAGCAGCCCTAGTGTGTGTGTGTGTGTGTGTGTGTGTGTGTGTGTGTGTGTGTGTGTCTCTGAGAGAGAGTGACAAGAGCTATATTCAGAGCTCTGCTGCCTTGGCTACACTATTTCATCGTTGCTGTTGTATGATTGGTGTTTAGCTACGGTATTTAGCGTCTACAGCACCTCCGCTTTTAGGGTTGACGTAGACCCAAACTTCGCCCGGAGGTCCCCCGGTGTTGTTGCGGGAGCTGCTGCACTAGCTAACACTCCACTAGCTAACGCTACATTAGCTGCTGCTGCACTAGCTAACGCTGCACTAGCTAACGCTACATTAGCTGCTGCTGCACTAGCTAACGCTACATTAGCTGCTGCTGCACTAGCTAACGCTACATTAGCAAAACAAACACTAATTTATTTTGCAAAAGGTGCAGCGGGCTTCAAACACGTTCCCTCCACTGGTTTCAACCAAGCACTAAATTAGATGTTTTCCAATCAAATACGGTTGAACTTACACTTCCCCATATTTATTTGTAAGTAGATTCGAAGATAGGCTACATGAGCTGAAGCTTGGTTGCTAGGTTACTAGCTGGGTGTTCTCCAATAAGGGGCCGGGGGAAACAAAGTTAGTGATTACTGGTTCCATGTTGATTTAATTCAATACAAATTGTTGGGGGGAACTGAAAGGCTGGTTACTTTGCAGCCCGGACATTTCCCCCAAAACACATTTAGACG